TTAGTAAATAATTTCATTGTACTAAAGGGTTATAGTAGTAGAAAGTCAAATAAGGAGATCACCATATTTTTTTACAAATACCATCTGTGTGAAAAAGCATAGTKGACTCYGTGACTSATGTTCTCTTATTGTTCYTCTTAGATTGTTTACTATAATGTAATATAACAAAAACTTTAGCCACAGCAACGCGTGGCCGGGTCAGCTAGTATATATATATATATATCATACATTGATTATAATTATTTAGATTTTAATATATTTTTTTTGTTTTTGTAAATAATAATAGTTGATGTCAAAATTGATACATAATATTATTTGTATAGCTTTGTCACAGCAAATGAAAACAAAATTAGAAATTACCTAATCTCTGCATAATTTATCGAATCCTCTAGTTCTAGATATTTAATTAAAAAATTTAAAATATTAAACGATTAATTGAGTAATATCTATTAAAAAGACAATATACAATATACATATTATAAGGTGATTCGCCAAGCAAGCTTATCTTAATTTTTCCATTATTGCTCATCAATCATCATACTTAAGAAACTTATTTTTAAATGATTAGATTATTGGAACCATTTAATATACAATAGCGTGAATTTTTAAGCAAGCTCATTCTCATTTTTCCCTTCAATACCTAGTATATTTATTCAAATTCTGATTTTTAGAATTTTTAAGTAGAGTCAAAGACCATATTTTCAAATGTCTGATATTTTTTATATACTACTTATAAGAAGTATCCTGTGGCGATTCCAACTTTTTATTTTTCAAATGAGAACCCTGTCCCTTTTCTTAATGAAAATTATTTAGTGAATAATTTTTTTGTAAATTTTGATGTATCTAAATCAAAATTCTAATGAGTAGTTTTTGAGTCAATAAAATGTTTATACTAAGGATAATAATCCTTAAAAATAATTGCATAAAAATAAAAACTACATGTAATGTTAGATGTATTTATTATACATGGCTCATTGTTACAAATCATTTATATTGATAAATCACTAATAATTACTATCTTTTGAAAATCATCTAAGCGCCTTATCTACTTCACCCATTACCATAGACATTATATTATCCTTAAAACATAGTTACATAATTTAAAAACTACTAGCTTGAATTTTGATTTAGACACATAAAATCTTCTTATGAATGAAAAATAAAAGAAGGAGATTACTATAATATGAAAAACTGAAGTTTGATAGTCACATGATCATCCTTAAGTGGTGCAAAAAATGTCAATGATTCGAAAAATGGTCTTCAAGTGTGTTTATTGATTCCAAAAATCGGAATTTTAATACATGCATAACTTAACCATAAAAATAGGATGAGTATGCTTAAAAATCACCCTGTGTAATTCGTGACGATACGTTTTTTTTCATATGAGATAAAATATATTTCCTGAAAACTGTATAGCATATTTTTTTTTATGTATGTATAGATTATACTTAAACAAATGTAATTTGTGGTGATTATACTTAAACAATTTTTATACATTTTTATGAATTATAATAAATGTTGATGGATTAAGTAATATTGACAAAGTTAGTTTGTAAAGTTTTGTGATTCAGTATTATCTGTCATGTTTTCAGTTTTATGGCCTTTATAATTATTCAAAATTAATTTTCTGATTAATTAATTGCTTAATGATTTTATTTTGTATACGTTTGGCTCTATTCATATGCGTCTTGAACTTACCCAAATTGAATGAAATGACCACGAATGAATTTTCTAAATTTTCTAAAAAAATGTCACGAAATCTACTATACAATGTAATCTAATAAATCATGGATATTTGAATTCATGCTTCCGAGAGTTCATAGTGATTCTCATAGTCTTTACTATACTTATATGCTAAACTCAAATAAAATAAATTCTAGAGCAGATGTTTCATGATTATTTGTGGAATTAAAAAATTAGATTATAGAATTCCTACTGTGTAAAATCAGTATTTAGTCCAATGATATAATTATTTAAACATTTTAAATGACAACTTCTGACTAGTTAAGCATAGAATTAAAAATAAAAGTACTTAGCGGGCAATGATAGAAATAGATTTTCATTTATATAATAAATATACAGGGTGTCCTGCGAAGATTTACCCATTGTGATATCTCACGAAATAATGGAAATATTAAAATTTTGGTTTTATAATAAGATTCACTGGGTTAAGAACTACAATTATTTCATTTTTAAATTTATTTTAACATTTTTGTAAAAAATTTTAAAAAATTTTATTTTTTATTTAATTACTTCCAAAAAAAATTAAAGATAGCCATTTTGTAGAGTTTATTTTTAAATATAATATTATTATATTAAATTATATTAAATATAAAATATATACCTAAAATTAATATTATATAATATTTTTTAATATTGACGTTTCAAAATTTTATTTTCATTAATTTACTGATTTTTAATATTTTTTCTAGTTTTGAAGAAATAAAATGTGATTTTTAACTATTGTCTATTAGGAACCGAAAAGTATTCGGCCGGCCGTATGGGAATGCGCACGGCGCGGCGGGTCACATATTTGATAAAATTACGGTGTTAAATAATTCGCAATTTTTCTCGAAACTAAAAAAAATATTAAAAATCAAGAAATTAATATCAAATTTTAAAACCTCAATATTGACAATATTTTCAGAAAAATTAACTCTACAAAATGTTTATCTTTAATTTTTTTGGAAATAATTAAATAAAAAAATATATTTTACCTTTTTTACCAAAACATTAAAATAAATTAATATAATTGTAGTTCTTATCTCTGTGAGTTTTATTACGAAATCAGAATTTCGATATCACCATTATTTCGGGAGATATAGCAAAGGGTAAATCCTCACAGGACACTCTGTATAATTGTTATTGATAKTACATAGAGATAAAATTCATGTTTCTTAAGACACGTATACAAGATATTATATTATTACTAATACATATTATATTAAATATAATTCAGCATCAATAATGATTATAACGTCATAGTTGAACATTATTTTATTCAAATTAGTTCTAGTATTTTTCTGGTTGTTTTCATCTAATAATCGATCATTTTTAAAATTCCTTGGTATACTAAAAATCATTATCTAATAATATCTACGTATCAGTTATGAATTAGATGAGTACTATAATTTAATTGTTGAAAAATTATAATACTATATATTTTAAATGTCTGTAATAAATTCAATGGTTCCATTGAGAATACAATGTACAGTAGTGTGGACATGTGGTACTATGATGAATAGGTTCGAAGGCGAGAACCCTTGAAATGATACAATGTATAAAATATATAATATATAAAATATGAGGGTTGCAGCTTGCTTTTTTTTTTTTTTGAAGTCAAAACTCTGTTACATGAGAGTTTGTATTCATAACTCCAACACATTTCAATGAATAATTATCATAAATTACCGTTTTGAAAAATGAACATTTAGAAAATATAAGAGTATAAGATATAATACGATTGTATCATCTTAACGAATTCATTATATAATAATTTATTTTATAATGTGTAAAAACATAAAATAGTATTTATAATTGTTATAATATCTACATACCTAATTTAGAGAGTACAACTGAAATTTCATCAATTCATTACTAATTAATATATTATTTTGCCTTAAATTAATGAAATTCAGCACTTATGTTAAGAGTTGATATAACTAGAACGTAACAATCTATATAAACGACTTTATAAGTGTAACTTTAAGAGTGTACTCAATAATGTTTATAGTAGCTTTGGCACCGGCTATTAATGAAAGTAGCAGCGGACGATCACATGTGGCGTGTAAATTTAAGTATTGCATAGTATTTGATGTAAGTATAGTATATAGAAACGTTTAATCTGTATTATACTATTACGACACCTATTCAACAAGAATTTTTCATTAATTAATTTTGTGACTGATGAAGTTTTTATAGTGGAGAAATTTGGTCAATCTTTAATTCTGATAGTGCACTTTAGGTTAGAAGATGAGATTAGCTAGTTGGTACTCCAATAGGTCAAAGGGAATAATGTCCAGTATTTATTAAATGGGATAAACAAAAATAAATAATAAAATTACGCAATATTAGTTTTTTTTTTTAAACAAAATTGTTTTTTGTTTTTTTAAATTTTTGAATTAGTATTTCTATATACATAATATAAATATTATAATATTTCGTCTACTTTCGTTTTTTTTTTTTTTTTTAATCTTGATGCCCATGTTAAAATATTTGCACCTGTGTAAAAAAGGTAGAAATTTTAATACAAAGTCTTTCATATTATTTCGTTCTTCCATTTTAATGAAAACTCCCTGCATGGCTGCAAGATTGGACTTTCAGTCGGCAGTCGGCAGTCGACACATTCGGCACAAGGAAAATTTGTTTAACAATTCTAAATCAAGGTTTAAAGGTTTAAAGACTACCCCCCCTCTACAACCATGTTTCTTTTTACGTCACGATGTATTTAACTGACGTAATATTTTTTTTTAAATATGGGCTGTTTTATTGTACGTTAAGTTTAATTTTTAATTTTACGGAAGATCTGCAAACTACACCTATATTATATTTTTTAAAAACCAATGAGTATATTATATGAACTCAAAAATGTGTGATATGAAGTAGAATCATAAACGCGATCAATCATAACTAGCTTATAATACGCGCATGTGCTTGTGATTGTATTAATTATGTAGGTACATAATTTATATACAT